GAAGAAAAGAGCAGGAGAGAAATGATAGGACGGAAGAGTCCCCAGGGGCCGGGTCCATGGCCAGGGAGGAGCCACCTCATCTGCTCTGCTGTGCAATACCTGCGGTTTGGCAGACGTGAGATGGAGGTGCACTTTTCCCTTCTGTGAAAGGAGAATTATTTTTAAAAAGTTAAAAATTACGACATATAATACAAAGCTAACTGTGTCCAAGATTTTATGTAACTCGTTAGTTAATTAGTTAAATAATTATAACTGATTCAAAAAATAACCCAAAGAAGCAGACACGTATATGGATAATTAACAGTGCTGAAATTAATTTGATTAATAGATGCCACACTGGTTTCTTGGGTGAAGAGAGAAAGATCAGTTGCCCTCCAAGAACAATCTGTGTTTGTATTTTCTTGGACAAGAATCATTTGCACTGCTACCAGTTTTTTTGTTTTTTGACAAAAAAAACAAATTTTGCAATTCACAGCTCAAAGACAGTGAAAGGTAGTGATAATCTGCTAGACTGGGCACCCAGTAATTATTATTGCCCAGTTTAAAGTCATTCTCAATTTTTCTTGATATGAATAGATCCCTCAACGTGTCTTCCAACACAAGGATTCACTGTGTGAATGCTTAGTGTTTCTCCAAAAAGGCTTAAGAAAAATAAAGGGTTTTTGAAGATTACATTAACCATACGAAGTCTCTGAGTTCCTCAGATAAGACCATGGAGTGGAATAAAAATCTCAGCTCTTTACAGCTCTTGTGTGCTCCAAAAGACAACCCTGTCCTTTCCTTTGAAATGCAGCTCTTTTGTCCTCCTTAAAATAAAATATCTGGTATTTAATTTTTATCATGAAATATTTTATGAACACAAAAGGTTTTTGGAATACTGTAAGAAACATCCGGATACTGACCACTCAGTTTAAAATATACAGTTGGATTTGTCTCTCCTCCCTGATCTTATTTCTTTCCCTCCAGAAGTAGCCATTCTCAGTATGGATGGGAGTTTATCATTCCCTTGCATGTTTTTATGCTTTTATAATATAAGTTGTATCCATAAACAACATACAGTACTGTTTTTAAAAAATTGATTGATTTTAGAGACAGAGAGAAACATAGATTCATTGTTCCAGTTATTTATGTATTCACTGTTTGATTCTTACATGTGCCCTGACAGAGGATTGAACCCACAACCTTGGTGTATTGGAATGATGCTCTGACCAACTGAACTACCCAGCCAGGACCACTTAATGTTTTTAAATTTGGTATAAATGGAATCATACTATTGTTTCCTTCTGTAACTTGCTTTTTCTGTTCAATATGATGTTTTTGAGATTTTAGATCTGGTCTTATTTTTGTTAAAAATGATGGCTTAGAAACAAGTGCTTGGCCCTGGTCAGGTAGCTCCAGTGGTCAGAGCGTGGTCCCAGTGAACAGTTCTCACACTGACGTTTCTCTCTGTGTCCCTGAAATCAGTAAATACACAAACAAACAAAAAGAAACAAGTGCCTGGTTGGTAATAAGAATGGAAATCAGTCATAATTTTGACCCATAGTCATTACGATAAAACTCCTGCTTTCATACCCGTAAAAGCAGCACATTGAAGAAGGACAGAGGTGGTCAACCGACGGCAATAGTTTAAAGAATTTGGAAAAAATGTCCTAGGACAGGTAACTTCTTTCACCATTATTTAAATAAATGGTAACTTACTTTACCACATTTTTAAAAATTAACAAGTTATTTTATCTTAAGTAAATCATATAGCTTTTCTCTTTTCCTTCCTCTGTACCAGCAATTGTTCAACTGGTGTGCTACAAGAATTTTTAAAATATGCAATACCTGACTTGTTAGTCAGGGGCATCAACCTCTTTTCCTTTAGATTGTCAAATGAAAAAATGACAACAGCTAACACAATAGCCATCTAGTGCAAATGAATCAAAATTACCCATGAATGAATACCCATTTTTTGTCAGTCAGCAAAAAATACATTTTTTGGTGTGTCGAAGAATTTTGGTAGGTAGTTTATGTGTGCCATGAGATGAAAAAGGCTGGAGATCACTGCTCTGTACAATGAAGGAGTTGAGTTAGATCAGGGTTTTCTAGATTTTTATTTTATTTTATTTTTAGCCCAGGCCTCCTTTAATGCACACAAAAACTCAAGTCCTTTTCTAAGATCATTTGCAATTTAAAAATAAACTAAACAGACTTCCAGTTATGGGCAAGTGAGATTGGCAAATACACTCCCCTAAAAACTGACCATAAAGCTGGATAAAATGAACATAAACAACCATTTTGTCCTCTGGAAATTGACCAAAGGCCTACAACAACCTGAGAAGCATTTATGCTTGAAGGACTGATGAACTGGGTAAGAACAGTGGGAACCTGAGGTGCTCTGGCTTGGAGCTATTCCTATTCTACTCTTGCAGCTGCCCGCTGTGCCGGCTCCCGCCAACCACTCCAGCTCCATATATGGGGTTTCTGCTAGGATGGGGCAGGCCATTAGGACTGGAAGCTTTTCTGCTCTGATTGAAGGGGGATACTTTACAGCTGGACTTTACTAGCCTGTGGCTGCAGCTGTGGTTGGGGCAGGCATATTTGTGGTTGAGGTGGCATACATGTATAGCAGAAACCAAAGAGGCCCAAGCTATTCACACGTGCTTGGCTGACCCTGGGGTTGCACATATATGCACAGGAGACTGAAAAAGGCCCTGTAGAGCCCTGGCTACTGTGGTTCAGTTGGTTGGGTGTCAACCCCTGGACTAAAGAGTTGCTGGTTGGATTCCTGGTCAGGGCACATGCCTGGGTTGTGGGTTCGTCCCCAGTCGGGGTGCATGTGAGAAGCGACCAATCAATGTTTCTCTCTCACACATGGATGTTTCTGTCCCTCTCTTGCTCCTTCCCTTCCTCTCTCTCTAAAATCAATAAGCATGTCAGGTAAGGATTAAAAAAGAAAATAAAACTTGAGGCACATTTGAACACAACCTGAATACTGTTATGTGTTCCCTTAAACATACACACATCTGTCAACAGAGGAGGAGAGACTTAGTGGTTTAAGATGTTTGACGATATTTGACATTTATCATAAAAGCAAGATGGATCTTTGTTGTCATAAAAGCCCTTGTATTCTTGGTTGAATCTAGGTTAAGAGGACAGTCAAACAGATTTCTTCTTTAAGAAAGGTGTTACGGTATACACAGACAGCATGGAACTTGAACGTACAGTTGATCCTTGAACAATGAGGGTTCAAACTGTGCTAGCCCATTTATACGGGTATTTTTTTCAATTGACCCATGCAGTTCAAACCCGTGTTGTTCAACTGCAGGCAAAAACCCTTCATTCTATCTGTTTTTAGTATAGATTAATGAATTTCTATTTCATAATGTTTATAAATCACTATCATAATTATTTTGGTGCTCAAATTGTCCCAGAGTTAGCCAGTGGGATCCCCTTCAAGCTGGCTTCTGTGTCCCTGTGACGTGTGTCATCATTTTTTGGTAATACTTCCTTAATTTCTAGCAAAAAAGATGTTCCAGGATCATTTGGAATTGGGTAATTTCTCCAAGGAGCCCTAATTCTCTTTTTGTGTGCATTTTAGCTATCTGTTAATGCATAACCAACTATCCTAAAATTTAGTAGCTTAAAAGAACAGGTATCTGATACAGTTTCTGAAGTTCAGGAATTTAGGAGAGGTTTAACGAGGTAGTCCATGTAGTCCTGGATCAGTTTCTCTCCTCTCCTAAAGTTACAATCAAGACACCCACTTCTTGACTTTTTGGAATGAAAACTTAATCTGGGAAGAAAAAGCCCACTTGATTCAAGGAGTTCTCAGGCCTTCTAGCATCAAGAGAGCCAAATGTAATATTGCAGCTTCTGTTCTACTCTGAAACATTGGTTCTTTTAAGATCTAGTTCTAGACTATGCTGATTTTATGCTACTATTTTTAGTCTGTTTGAGCGTTTTCTTTTTCATCAGTTGGCTCAAGTTATTACAACAAAGGTTATTGAAAGTGTACTTGTACAAGATTAATAAAAGAGATAAGCTCTGGCCTATAGGAATTTGCAAAGCAGTATAATCCTACTTCTTTCCTGAAACTTTCTCAAATAAGTAAAAGTTTCAGCCCTGGCCAGGTAGCTCAGTTAGACAGACTTGTCCTGCTATGCCAGGGTTTGGGTTTAATCCCTGGTCTGGGCACATATGGGAGTCAACCAACGAATTCACAAAATGAATGGAACAACAAATCAATGTTTCTCTCTCTATAAAATCAATGAAAATTTAAAAATTTAAAAAAAATTTTCAGAGGTGAAGCTATTAGGAGTTCCAATTTGTTTAATGATTATTATATTATCTTTCAGCTACTGAACATCATTTCTTTTTTTGCTGTGCTATTAACTCTAACATGAATACAATGTAAAAAGCAACTTTTTTCACCTGCTCTGGGGTTCAAAAGCTGTCCTAGAAATAAATAAGCCTTGCTAAATTCAGTTCAGCACAAAAGCAAGCAATTAATAATTAATGAAATTGAGAAATCCGCCCACACTGGGTAATCCCTCTTTGAGGAATTTGGGTTTGTGAAAGAAAAGACAGCCCTGCGTTAATGAAATAGTGCCCTGGGCCAGCAGTCTCGCAGGGCCGATTTTAATCACAGCACTGCCCCCAACAGCCAAAAGATGGATGGTCCAATAATATCAGCTCTCCGAGTCTGTTTCCCCAAGCATAAAATGATGGGTAGGCTTGACGGCCCCTCTTTCACTACAATTTTCCAGTCCAAGGCTCAGGGAGAGGTCCATAAAACGAATAAAATTACTTCAAGGACTACTAGAAGTGAACTCACTGGTCAAGGTTGAACGATTCGATTTGCTCTTTGGGTACAAGCAGTATGGACGGCCACAGAACAACAGTCCAGGTTAATTTATTAATACACTCCGCCCAGACTGTCAAAGTTCTGCTCCTTCCCCGCCTCTCACGGAAACACGAGGATCCAGGAATCGGGCATAACCTTCAAATCCCGCCCTGGGAAGGACAGGGAGCGAGAAGCGAGTATCTAGTTGTACGCCTGCGTGCTGAGGTCGGCCGGCCGAAGGCGCGCGGTGAGCCCCTCGCAGCCCCGCAAACCACGCGATATTTCCTTCGGGGCTCCGCGGCGGTGAGAGGCGAGCGCCGGCGGTCGGTCGCGGATCCTGGGACTGGGGAACCTGTAGCTGGGTGCAGCGTCCAGGTGAAGGGAGATCTAGGAGCCGGGGTGACCTCTAGGCTTCCTCCTGGAGCGACTGGCGTTGTGCTTAGGGTATTAGGGAATGCTGGAAAAGCAGAAGCTGGTGTTTTTTGTTTGTTTCTTTGTTTTTGTTTCTGTTTTTAGAGTTGTTGAGAGTAAGCAACCTCAGGTTTGGACATATTTGTTTAAGGGGCCTCTGAGACGTTTGTTTAACATATTTTTTGAACACTTACCGTGTGCCAGGCATAGGGGGTGGTTATAAATCTTTGAATAACGGATACGAATCCCTGTCCTCTTGGCGTTTACAATCTGGGAAGTCAGCTTGAAATTCTGGGTAGAGGCAGACTCTTCTTGGTAATTTCCATATGGGTGTTGGTAATGGGAGCCATAGATCTCCACACCTTGTTATTTGTGGCAGAATAACTGAACGAGATCAGGATAGAGAAAAGTTTTATTAAATGGTGTTAGCTACATACCATAGCTCATGGTATGTAAATCATACGCGTTGTGTCTGAGTATGGGTACCAGTGTCATGAGCGGTTATGCAACCATGGGCAAGTTATGCCACCTCTGTGCCTCCCTTTCCTGGTCTATAAAATGTGGACGCTGACAGTACCAACCTCATAGGGTTATTGGGTGGAGGCGTTAAACGCAATAATGATAAAAAGCCCCTAGCCCAGTTCCTAACACTTGGGAACAGTCAGGAAAGAGGCCGAGAGAACAAGATCCCCCCTAATTAGAACCAGCACTTGCACTCTGCTCTTCCTAGTGCTGCGGCCTTTCTCTTATACTAGGCTGCAAGGTAGGCACTCAAATAACAAACTATTTATGACTGCACCAGAGTGATTTTTTTCAGCTGATCATTGATCTGGTATTATTTTTGAATTACTTAGCACTAATCAGAAACCCAGTTAATATCATACCAGGCAAAAACGGTTTGCTTAATGTCAGTTAATAAAGACTCTCCTTGATCCCCAAAACACACACACTTGGGATGAATTTAACGCCACCACCACCCTTCCTTTCCTATCTAGAACTTGGTGTGCCATATCTTTCATTTTAATTTTGTAACTAAATCAAGTTTTTAATATCTTACATTTGGTATTTGTTGTGCTACTGAGGGATATTGTGTGGTTATCTGACGTTAGTTAATTGTAGTGTTTGATACTTGAAAACTTTCTAATTTAATACAGATGGAGGAAACTTGAATGCTGTGCTTTTCATGCTGATAAGCAGAATTTGGATAAATCTACAGTGCATATTTTAAAGAAATGAAACAGACATTTGAAAGTAATCAGCAGACAAATATGAAATTTCATTTGGAAAGACTCCTTTGATTGCAAATTTAGCTGTCAAGGTGCTTTGATAACCACTTAAAGGCAGTTGTCTTTGGACCCAGCATCAATCTGGAAATTTCTGTTTTTCAGTACTTACATAATTTACACACACTATGATTCAATAAAAAATTTCCTTTTAAAAGTATGTTTAGCTTTACAAGACATTATGGACTTCTTGATGTGATGAAATAAGATGCACACGGCACCATTTTACCAGATTCTTATGTAAAAATGTAACCCACATCTAATCACAGCTCTAGATCTAACCACCATTCAAAGCACTGGCGGAGATAAAAGAATGAAGTAAATGACACCATGAGGAAACAATCCAAGGACATTTTATAGACAAAGGGATAAAGAAAATGTTTCTTCAGCAATCAATGTCATGAAATAAAAAGGGAGCGGGAGACTCAATGTAGTATGTGGACCTTAAATTTTGGTTCTAGTGAACCCGCTGTAAAAGACATCCCTGAGACAATCAGGGAATTTGAATACACACTAAGTATTAGGTAATGTTAAGGAATAACCTGTGCTATCAATTCTGTGAGGTTAATGGCATAGCATTTATGGTAAAAACAATGTTACCAGAGATGTATAATTGAAGGATTTTTAGGTGAAATAGGATGATGTCTGGGTTGTGTTTTTTTTTAAAGATTTTATTGATTTACTTTTAGAGAGAGAGGAAGGGAGGGAGAAAGGGAGAGAAACATCCATGTGTGAGAGATACGTGAATCGGTTGCCTCCTGCACACCCCCAGCTGGGGACCCTGCCTGCAAAACCAGGCATGTGCCCTGACTAGGAATTGAACTGGCAACCCGCAGGCCGACACTCAACCCACTGAGCCACGTCAGCCACGGTTAGGATTTATTTTAAGAGGAAGTCAGGAAATCTTTTGGCTGGACAACATTGTATTCATAAGGAGAGAATGGACATTGAGGGAAACTAGCCATTAATGTCAAAACCAGTGAGATTATAAATACATACATTCCAAAAAATAAGGAAGCAAGTAAGGTGCTTATACATGTTCTTCTTTCTGCCTCACAGAATGTCCCTGACATCAGATGTTTAGGTCCTTATAAAGGAGCAGATTTCTCCTCTTGCAGAGGTTACCTACTGGAGAGTTGTGCATCCTTGTATGGCTTTAGGTGTAAAAACCCTGTTTGGGGATAATAACAATAAGATTGTTGGATAAAATGAACATATTAGATGTTATTAAGTATTAAATTAATACATATATTTTTATAGCATTCACAACAGCGTAACACTGTCACACTCATTAAGGCTTGTTGTTATTTTTACTGATGGGTACAGCAGGCAGGGCTGTTTCCCTGAAGTCGGACAGTTCCAGCACTGGAACTTCATTTGGCTTCTTTCATTAGCTCAAATGGTAAACCCAGAATAAACTGGTCCTTTATTTATTTAGCTATTCCATATTACAGAATTTCTTACAAGGTGAGACTTTATAAATTCTTTTAATATATTACTTTTATAATCAGCAAAAGTATTAAGACATTTTCATTTTGGTAAATGAGTAAGAGAATTTTGGAAAGTTTGGTTACATTAAGCAGCTAGGGTTTGTATTTTGCTACCAGGCTAACTGGCCAGCCCTGGAGGAGTATATCATGCTGTTCTCTTTCAGCCGAGCCGCAGGAGGAGGCTTACTGCTGATGGTACAAGGGTGAATGTGCTTGAACTGTGAGGCCAGGACATCCTGCCCCCCTCAGTCTCCAACAAGCGTGTTCCTATTAAGCAAAAATTCTAATTAGACTTAGTCCTTCATACATTTGCTTTAGGAGGTAAACTCTTTGACAGGAGACTATATCTTTTTTGGGTCTAAATATGATTTTTCTTCTCTTTGTTCAGAAACACAAAGGTGTTTCTTTTTAAATTTTAAGTTGTTTGCTATTTCCAAACTTTCTTGTAATTTAAAATTTTTTCTATTAATAGGAATTACTGTATACAGAAATCTTGTGAGGTCTCTGTGCGAACAAGGTGATGATTGTACAAAGAGTGGTACTGAATTCCCGACCTGGTATGTATTTATCTGTGATGAATGAACAGCTGTGGTCTTTGATAATTACTAATGCAAATGGAGAAACAAAAATATCCATATCCTGTCATATGATAAATTGAGGTAGGAGGATATTAACACTAGCAGAGATATTAGAAGAAATTCTTTAAATGATATCATATTCAGTTTTTCAAATGATGACTTATCAAGGCCTTTGGTTGAAAAAATAAGGTTTTTTAGAATTGTTACACTATTTAAAAGGTTATATTACAAATATGTGGCTTTTATTTTTTCTTTATAGTATGTAACATCAGCTCTTAAAATTTGCTTTTTTTGTTTTATGTGAAGACCACAGACCTGTGTCTGTGCTGACCTCTAACCTGAGTCATAGAAACAGGTACAGAAGTAACCTGAGAGGTTTGGGCTCATGCTGCCTTGGTATTATTATCTGTCTAGCATGTGGCCTGGGAAGTCACTTAACCTGTTTTGACCTCAGTTTTAGTAAAGTGAGCAGTTAGATGAAAACCTGTGCATTTTATTCCCACTGTAGAAGTGAGCTGATTCAATGAATAGAGAGTTTGCTTATGTTCAACATAACTGCTTAAGTGTACACTTTTAGTGATGACATTTTCTGCTTACTGATTTTTCGTTTTTTAAAAACTGTTAATCTTTTTTCTTTTCAAAAAATTAATTTTTATTTTTTTTAGAGAGAGAAAGAAACATCGATTTGTTGTTCCACTAGTTTATGCATTCATTGGTTGGTTCTTGTATGTGCCCTGACCAGGGATCGAACCCACAACCTTGACATATCCAGAGGATGCTCTAACCAACTGAGCTACCTGGCCAGGGCTCAGGGTTTTTTTGTGTGTTTTTTTTTTTTCATATTTCAAATGTCTAATTTTTAAGATTTTACTTTTTTAAAAATAGCATTTATTTAAGTTTCTGTTTTCTTCTTAAAATGAAGAAAAAAAGTTTACCTATTGGGCTGATGTGTTTCTGCTACCTTATAAATTTTAATTTTTATGATATTTTCAAAAGCCGGCTGTGATATTTCATTTTTTTGAAATCCTCCTGAATTATAAAACAGATGAGGTGGTTTACCTGTAGTCATCTTAGAAAAGAAATTTTAAAGTTGACAGGAATATTTCAAAGGGTCTTCTTGGAAAAAATAATGAGCAATTAAAACTATTTGAAGAACTTGTGTTGAGTTACAAAGAAATTACAAAACAATATGGATTTATTCATGCCTAAGTTAAATGAGAGTGTTTTGAATCCTAGAGTGGCCTTTTAAAGAATAATAAATGATTGTATAAGAAAGTGAGTTTTTTACTTGATATTTTTACCTAATATTTTAGGAAAAAATGGTAATCCAGTGGCAGAAAATTTCCGAGTAGAAGAAGTAAATTTACCAGATAATATCAATGAAGGACAAGTACAAGTCAGAACCCTTTATCTTTCAGTGGATCCTTACATGGTAAGAATCAGGATTTTGTGACTTGGTGAAAATTAATTTCACTTTTTATATTTTTAATGTTGCATCTATATTTTGTTGTGCCATCTTCATGATTAATAAATATTTGGTCAATTATATGTTTATACCTGTGAATTATAGATTGCCTCTTTTATTCACTAGTGTTATTAAGGAATGTTTTAGAAACAAAGTTTTTTAAATAATTTTTTAAAAATTGATTTTAGAGAGAGGAAGGGAGAGAGAGAGAAATACTGATTTATTGTTCTGCTTATTTATGCATGCAGTGGTTGATTCTTGTTTGTGCCCTGACCAGGGGGGATCAATTGGTACGATGTATTGGTACGATGCTCTAACCAACTGAGCTACTTGGTCAGGGCAAGGAAATTTTTCATAATAGCACAATAGTGTATGTGATTAATTAGGTCCTTCCAAATGTCCAGATCATTTCCCAGTAGTAAGTAAAGCTTGAAGATAGTGAATTAGGATTGGAAATTGTCTCAGAGCCAGTTTAAAAGGTCTTACTTCTATCACTGTATCTACAGGGGCTAGCATGGTGCTTAGTAAGTATTAATTAAAGGAAGGAAGGAAGAAAATCGCTTCCTTCCCCATGTGGCCCTGCATGGTATGCTGTGCCACTCCACTTGGGGATTGTAAACAATCACTTGCCTTCACAGACATTGCTCTTTTTTTAAAAAAAATGTAAGCAACTTAAAAAAGGAATCTAATGGATATTAAACCTTTGAAATGTTGTATCATTCCAAATTCACAACTAAATTTAATCCCTATGTGTATACAGCATTTTGCATGGTTATAGTTAATGTGTATATGCTATTTTGATTTCTTATTTAAGTGACTTTATATACATAACTTCAAATGCAAAACTAGTGGAAATATCAGTATATTGGTGGTCATATAATGTTCTATTATGTTGACATCATTCCCTTATTTATAGGGAATTACTTGTTCTACTTTTTCTCTTATCCTTGTTGGAGTCAGATGCTTGGTCTGGCCAGTATCCAGTGGCTGCTGAGCTAGCAGAAGCGTAGCATATTCCCATAGAAACTTCTGCTTCAGTTTCCCATTTGCTCTTTTCTTCTGCTGAGCTGAACTAAACCACCCTTAATCAAGCAGCCTTCCATCGTCTCTGTCTCCTGGACCACACTGTAGGCCTCTGCGTCGTGGCTTCATGAGAGAGGCAAAGAGAGGAAGGGAGCCTTGACAACTTCTCAGGAAGTCTTGAGCACTAGTCCCACGAGAGAGTGTGGCGCCACTGCGGCGTTTTGTCTTTGCAGAGTAAAAAGAACATCCACCTGAGGTGAGGGGGATGACGTAATGCTCGGGCTGAAACTGTCCCTGTCATCTTGCTGCTGTGGGAAACTGAGCAGTTGGGAAGAGCTTAGAAGTGCCTTGGGAATAGGGATTAGAAATGGAGGAGGAGTTCAGAAGGGATGGTGATAAACAACTGTATAAAGTTTCCTTTTGTGTGTGTTTTGTTTCCATTGGTGAAGTGGAATTGTGAGGTCAAAAGAAATAAGTACCATTATGGTCCATGTTACTAATTTGTTTTCTACAAAAAGGGGACAGTTTTATAATATTATCAGTAACATGTAAGTATACCTAATTTGCCACAATCCATTGGAACCACTGGCCCAGTAGTTTGTATTACTTTTGCTAGCATAATATGTGTAATATTACTTACTTAAATTTCTTTAGTTGTTTAAAAATGTGGACAGTTTTATTAAAATATAGTACACATATAAAAAAGATGTGGTACATTTACACAATGGAATACTATGGCTGTAAAAAAGAAGGAACTCTCACTCTTTGCGACAGATTATTATGCTAAGTGAACTAAGCCAGTCAGAGAAAGACAAATACCATATGTTTTCACTCATATTTGGAATCTAATGTACCAAATAGACTGATGAATGAAATAAAACCAGAGGTATGATCCATGGAACAGAATGACAGATTTTAGAGGGGTGGGGGGAACTAGAAGAGATTAGCTAAAGAACATATATGCATGTATGCATAGCCCGTGGACATGGGGACCGGGGGTGGGGGCAGCTGGGTGGAAGGGGGCAAAGAGGAGGAGAAAATGGGAACATCTGAAATAGTGTCAACAATTAAAAATTTTTTTAAAAGAAATAATACACATATCATACAATTCACACTTTTAAATGTACCATTCATGGTTTTTGGTCTACTCACAAAGTTGTGGAACTATCGCCACAATCTAATTTCAGCAAATACTTACATTCCTTTTTACTTGTACTTCTTTACTAGTTAGAGAGGGGATACAATTTTTTCAGAATAAAAAATAACTGAAAGGAAGATAGAAATAAACATAAATTTTATCTGTGTGACTAACACTCTACTTAACATTACTTATATATCTTTTAGTCGCTGGGTAAATTAGTAAACTGGTTCAATATTATTAGACAGTATTATCCCTAATCAATGTTTTCCTTTTTTAGCGCTGTAAAATGAACGAGGACACTGGAAGTGATTATTTGGCGCCTTGGCAGCTCTCTCAAGTGGTTGATGGTGGAGGTGTTGGGGTTGTAGAAGAAAGCAGACACTCGCATTTTACTAAAGGGGATTTTGTGACTTCTTTCTATTGGCCCTGGCAAACCAAGGTTATTCTGGATGGAAATAGCCTAGAAAAGGTGATGTACTAATATCAAGTATATGATTTCCCCTCCCCCCATAATTCTTATTTTGTGCCTTTGGTTTTCAGTTCTGTTTGTTATCAAGGAAAAAATAGATAAATAAAAGCATGCATTTTCTTTTAGATAGTTGCAAAGATGTGGACTTTGTTACTTTTCCACTATTGGCTATAACTTATATGATAATTTCTTAGATTATCAGTAACTGGTATTTTTTTCCATATTTAATTTATTTTTTAAGTTTTATATGTATAAAATAAAACCTGAGCTATAAGCATCAGAAAAATATTTTATACTAAGAACCAGAGACCCATCACAGTTGTATGCTTTAAAGTTTCCTGAGAAACTGACACTTTAGAAATTCCTTTGGTTTGTGCTTGAAATTCCATCTTGCCGTCAGAAATCCTGAGCTTGGTTTCTGTTATGTTAACCATGTGAAATTATCAATATTTGTCTTTTTTGACCTTTAAAAACTGGCAGCTTCATGTACAGGGTGGGGCAAAAGTAAATTTACAGTTGTGATATGAAAAAAATGCAATAATTAGTAAATAATAATCCAAGAATAAACTGTGTTTTCTGTACTCAAAACTGTAAACCTGTTTTGCCCCACCCCATAATTCAACCTAATATGTGTCATCAAGGAAGTTATTGTTATGTCTCTGAACTTCAGTTCCCTCATGTGCAAAATGAAAATGATAGCTCTCTTACAAATGAATGTGCAAATTAAATGCTATGACAAATGTGACTAAGGTTTTGTAAAAAGATTTGTAAAATTTTAGTGCTCTTTATTATTACAAATTCTTACAATTGGTTAAAAGTAGCTGTTAATAAACAAATGACATGAGGCATTATGCAATCACTCGTCAACTTAATAGTACTAGTCAAATATACTTAACTAGAAATTTCTTAGCAGGAGGTGAAAATGCAGTACTCAGCAGTTTGTAGTTCCTCCTATCACTGTGTTGTCGTGGGAACTTGAGCAGCGGAGGGAACTGGAAAGTGCTCTGGGAGTGGGTATTAGAAGTGAGGAAGGGGGGTTCAGAAGGGACGGAAGAATGATATTTGCTGAACCCAAACTTAACTCACACGGTTTTTATACTGGTTTTAATAATAGGTATCGCCTATATGAAATACTTCTGCATACCGTAGACCTTTCTGTGTAATGTAAATTTAGTATCTCCATTACATTTATCCACACACTGAATTTAACTGATAGCCATTTAAAACTGCTTAATACAAACTGCCATTTTATTTCTTTGTGGCAGTTTAACTTCAAATCAAACTAAGGTAGTAAATCTTGATTACTTTCAGTGATTTATTAGATTTTTACAGGAAATTTTTTTTTTTAATTTTTAGAGAGAGAGGAGGGAGAAAGAGATCTTTGGTGTCTCTTCTTCTGCTTATAAAAATACATACCCTGTTAGATTAGGGCCCCACCCTTGTGACCTCATTAAAGGCCCTGCTCCAAATACTGGGGTGGGCAAAGGTAGGTTTACAGTTATTTGTATGGAAAATTATATAATAATTAGTGAATAATAATACAAGACTAAGCTCTCTGTCTTGTGTAATCACAACTGTAAAGCTACTTTGCCACCCCTGTGTAGTCACGTTAGAGGTTAGGTATCAACAAATGAATTTTAGGAGTGTCGATGTAAGAAATGTCCAGACCTGTACAGAATTTGTGTAACAATTTATTTGAGCCAAACTGATGACAGCTGCTATGGAGCAAGATTTCAGATGTTCTAGAGAATAGCAGCTTTACATTTTCTTTTATGTGTTTTGAAGTTAAGAAGTGAACACAGTGAAAATTACGAGGAGGGAGAAAGCAAGGCAGGGATTAGATTACAGGATAGTTAACAAGCTTATTTCAAAGGAGTGTTTACCTAGATGGATAAGAACAATGAACAGGACTTGCTTAAGGCAAAGATAAAAATTTCACTAAAGAAGTTCCCTGCATAGCTGACTATTCACCGTGACCTGCCCAGTTAGGTATTTATGAGCAGATCGCCCTGTGAGGTTACTTTCTGTCAAGCTGCCTGGTTTTTCTTGCCCACAGGAAGACCCAATTCAGTCTATAACAGGTTGTCTTTACCTTGTTGACGTAAAACAGAAGTTCCTAATATTATTTTTTAAAGGTATGTATTTGTTTCATTTTAGGTAGACCCACGACTTGTGGACGGACACCTTTCATATTTTCTTGGAGCTATCGGTTTATGTGGTTTGACGTCCTTGATTGGGATACAGGAGAAAGGTCACATAACTGCTGGCTCTAATCAGACAATGGTTGTTAGTGGGGCTGCTGGTGCTTGTGGATCCCTGGCCGGGCAGGTAATGATTTCTGAGAATTACTGGATTTTCTTAAAAAAAATGGTCATGATTAAATCTCTGGGTACGTGTATATAATTTAAAGTAGGAAATTGAAGAAACTGATAGTATTTTACACATTTCTGGTAGAAATGATGTTATTACCTACTTAGATTCTCTTCATAACAATATGAAAAATGTTACAGATTTTTTATCTTCTCTGTCAACCAAAAATAGACATGGGAAATGCTAGAATAATATAAGGAAGAAAGTCAGAGTACCTGTGTGCAATTCATGAATTACAAAATAAAAATCTTCAAATAAAAAAGCACTTATCAGTTCTAGAAATACAGTAAATGTTATGATAGAATTTTATAAAGTGATTATTTTAATGAACAATAGCCTTTATAATATGGAACCACTGAAATAAGACATTTTTTTGTAGTAGTGATTCTAGTTATTCCCAGGCCTGAAAAATATTTTAGAAAATTTTTTTTTAATTAATTTATTGGAGTGACTTTGGTTAATAACATTATATAAACTTCAGGTGTACAACTTTATAATGTGACATCTGTGTCCTCCATTGAGTGCTCACCACCTGGTCTCGACTCCTTCTGTCACCGTGTATTTGACCCCCTTTACCCTCTTTGTCCTCCCCTTCCTCCCTTCCCTTCCGGGAACCGCCGCTCTGTTGTCTGTATCTGTGAGTTTTTGTTTGTCCAGTGGTTGCTTTTTGTTTTATATCCCACACGTAAGTGAAAACTCACGGTTCTCCTTGGCTGGAAAATACTGAATTGCGAGTTAGTGGTGTTTGGGGTCAGACGGTTACTTTTATGAAGTCAACTTTAAATTGTGAGACTTTAATAACATTCAAACTAAGTCTAATTATATTCAGTCTTGATGTTTTTAAGAATGTTATATGTGTTCTCAGTTCTTTTGATTTCAAGTTACTTTTAGATGAAAGCCCTGAAATCTAACCTAAATGTGATGAACACCCCCATATACGGTACTTGTAATATCTTATATGCTCTCACATTTTAAACTTGACATGTGACAATAGAAAGCTGTTTAACTTTCAAAAACTTTCCCCCTAGATTGGCCACTTGTTGGGCTGTTCCAGAGTGGTGGGAATTTGTGGAACACAGGAGAAGTGCCTCCTTTTGACCGCAGAACTGGGCTTTGATGGTGCGATTAATTATAAAAAAGAGAATGTGGCAGAACAGCTCCGTGAATTATGCCCAGCTGGCGTGGATATTTACTTTGACAATGTTGGCGGTGACATAAGTAATACAGTGATAAGTCAGGTTGTTTGCTGATTTGTTTGTTATAAATTTGAATATTATATTTTATTTGATCTGATATATCTTTACCTGATACTGAGAGAGGGGAAGAAAAACTTCAGAAGATTGTAGGGTTTATTGTGAAAAATAACATAATGATCAGTACTGTTAATTGATTGACACAGCAAAATTTGTTTATATTATATATCTCCTTCCATTTGTTTGCAGATTTGTACTGTAAGCAATTTCACTTCTTTGCTAGCAATATTATATTTTCCCCTGCAATTTATTTTTGTGAAAAATTATGGCTGTATTGTTCAAGTGGTGAAGTTCTGACTCCTAACTCACCATGAACTAAACTCATAGCCATTGTCCCTAACTTTGGGTAGGGAATGGGTTTTCAAAGATTGCAGGTATTTACATATTTTTGTTGATAATTTTATTAAATGTAAACACCATCTACTAACACTGCATTGTCCTTCACTACATGTAAAATTGTTTGCAATTGAGGTTGAATTATTTAAATACAGATAAGTACTCTGCTATGACTAACTACTACTAAAAGTAGCAACAACCACAACAGTAACGACTAATGTAATTCTTTTGCTGATTACCAAATTCTTATTTACCTCCATGTTCCTTTGGAGTAGACTTATTTTCTAGTGGATTAAAACTTTTAAATATATTTAGTGGGTAAATCTTTAAAATGAAATCAATTGATTGGCACTAAAGGATTAAATACAGGGGTGAAGGAGGGTTTCTTTGAGACAGCTGTAAAATCACATATAGGAAAGGCATTTACCTTAGGGTCTAAGCCCCAATTTTATCTGAACAGATGAATCAGAACAGCCACATCATCCTGTGTGGTCAAATTTCTCAATACAACAAAGATGTGCCTTATCCCCCTCCGCTACCTCCTGCTGTGGAAGCAATCCAGAAAGAAAGAAACATCACAAGGTGTGTTCCTGCCCCCTTCCCGTTATTACCAGATTCAAGGGGTTTAATCATAGATGTATGTGAAATGTGTTATTCTTCATGTATAATTTTTCCTTATTAAATAAAACTTGAAAATATGCAATTTAAGCTGGTTTAATGTTTAGGTTTTGGTTAACTAGTTCCTTGGCAGAAAGCTTTTTTAAAAATTGCATCTCTTTTATCAATCTTTTGCAAGTCCTTTTTTACAAGTGATAGAAACTCAGTCACATTGGCTTAAGTGAAAAGGAAATTTATTGGCTCACGTATCTGAGAAGTCCAATATTAGTACAGTACTGGCTGAGATTTGGCTAGATAAAGGGTTTGCATAGTGGCATCACGGCTCAGTTTTTCTCCACCTCTGGGCTGTGGGTTCTTCTGGGTTGGCTGTGCTCGCTCACAGCTCTCCTCTTCCGGCAGTAAAAGGAGGAATGTTATCTCTAGTCTTATATGTTGCCAGGTTAGCAATCCAAGCAAAGAGAACAGCTCTCTCCTTGCAGTTTCATCAAGCCCCAGAGCTGATACCCAGTGACTCACACTGGCCTGGCTTTGCTCACATAAGGGTGGGGAAAAGATGTTACCCACAAAGTAAAATCACAGCACTATTACCAAATGGGGTTGTAGATGCTGGGCAGACAAAACAATAGCAGTCCATTATACTTCTACCTGTAACTACACTTCTAAAACTATATCTGGCCAGACTCTGTGTGAAATCTGTATGTTTGAAAGATTAAGAGCAGAATTCTGCAATGATTTCATTTTGGATTCTTTTATTCCCTCACTGGTCTCTAATCATTATCCTTTTCTTTCCCATTATAGAGAAAGATTTATGGTGCTCAACTATAAGGACAAATTTGAGTCTGGTATTCTACAGCTGAGTCAGTGGTTTAAAGAAGGAAAACTAAAGGTAGAACTTAATTCTGTTCTTACTAATAGCGTTCTTCCTGCTAGTTGATGTGCTTTTGTATTATCTGAATGTATCATAGCAAATGTACTACTTTCATAATAAAAATCCATATAAAAGGGAAGTATACTGAGTATTATAAAATAACTTGACCACCCAGGTGATATAATCTCCTGGTTGAGAAACCCTTTTTTATTATTTTCTTTATCTAAAATTTTATTAATCTTTTACTTTCCTTAGATTATATTGTAAGATCAGTAGATTCCTTCCTTCAAATTTTAATATTTATTAATTTAACACACATTTATAGAATGCTGCTGTGTTAGAAGCTGTGCTTTCTCAAATCCTGTAAGCACTTCCTAGTACCCCACCTCTCCACCACCGTAGGTCTTTCCTGCCCTCCTGGGACATCTGATATATCTCTTAGTTGTTGGTTGGGAGTCAGAAGTTATTAATCTGGAATCCTTAGCCCCTGCCCTAGCATGTTCCTAAAACTTGAAAATGATAGGGACAGTTGTATGTATCTGTGCTTGTACTTTTTTTTCTTTGGAAAAGAGGGCATATTGTATAGATAGTGTTGTTAACACTAAAGATTAGACAAAGGGAAAGTAGGATTTTATTATAAAAAAATGAATTGATAGGAAACCTTTTTGGGCAACCTACGTGAAATAAAGAATATATAATTTTTGCCCTGGCCAAAACGGCTCTCAGCTGGTTGGAGCATCATCTCATAACCAAAAGGTGGCTGGTCCGGTTCGATTCCTGCTCTTAGGGCGCATGCCTAGGTTTCGGATTCAGTGCTCAGTTGAAAGCAGCAACTAATCGATGTCTGTCTGTATGTCTGTCTCCCTCTCTCTCCTCCTCTCTCTCTCCCTCTTCCCCTCTCTTTCAAATGAGAATAAAATAAACCTTAAAAAGGAAAGAATATATATTTTTAGACAGAAAGCACCAAATATTTATTACAGCCTTTTGCAAACATGGAAACTATTAAGTAAAAACATTGGAGTCTAAAGAAGAGGACTAAATATAGCTACTTTGATTTACAGGTCAAAGAAACTATGATCAATGGATTAGAAAACATGGGAGGTAAGATGAATGTAGATTTATTTATTATATACATGTGCTCAGCGCAAATAATCTCCTTTTTCTTTTAATTCTATTTCCCTGGTGTTTTTAAAAATCATTTCTTTCCTTCCTGTAAAACTTCCCTATAGTTTTCCTTAAATACCTCAATCAAACTCCATGGAAGTTCAACTTAGTGGTATTTAAGAGGTACTTTTTTACATTTCAAATTATAAAGTGTTTCTCTGTTTTCATAAACAGTTTATGAAAAAAATAAGAATTGTGAAAGTCATTTACCCTTTAGGTAACTTTTTTTTTTAATTTTTTTCTGATTGAACAGAAAAAGACATTCTAAGATTATATTAAGAAATTTCAATATTTCAGCTTTTGGAGGGTTTTTTGACCTAACTTACAGAGAGTCCAACATTCTCTTTTGTTTGTTTTAAATGAAAAGGATCAATCAAACTGATTTTTTCTTTTCAAATATAATTTAATATATTTGGTTACTAAATTTATCAAACAAATATAAATTTCACTTATTTTTCTGGTATATCAGATGCGTATTTCACTTAGTAAAACTTTATGATTAGATTTCAGATATTTTTAACTGTTATTTAAAAATTTGTTTGGCTGACATTTTATCTTCATACTTATTTGCCTCTAGTCTTCAGACTGAAAACTGTGAATGTTGATGTAGGCCCCAATTAAACATTTCTAGTTTGGGTAAAAACAATTATTTAAGATGCTAATTAGGTTAGTTTGTCCTGTAATTTTGCCACTGTTTACATGATGAAGTTTCTTTTCATGACAGTTTTCTTCTATACTTAATATTAAAATCATTGAAGTGACTTTTCAAATTAATTGTGTGTCTGACTTACTGATAAACATACGTGACAGTGACATTTTTGTTTTCGGATAACCTAGTTTTTTTTTCTTTCCAGCTGCATTCCAGTCCATGATGGCAGGGGGTAATACTGGAAAGCAGATAGTTTGCATTTCAGGAGAAGCCTCTTTGCCATCTCTATAAGCCTCTTCATTAAGAAAATACAGATTTCTTTCCATTTTTCACAAAGATTTTCAAGATACATTAAAAAAACCTTAGAGTACAGATAACTTTTGATTTAAAATTGGTGATTATTTTCTTAGTTGCAGAACATAATTCTTTCCTATATCTTCAATATTATATATGTACACTATATCCAACATATTACTTATATTAATAGATTGAAGTCAGCATGATCTGTTTTTCTTTTATTAAAACTATTAATATATTTTAATCATATTTTGAAACCACTGGAAATTTTGTTACGGAAAAGATGACTCAGACGGCCTCGGAGTTTGCGAAATGGGGTTTATTCACTCATGCGGACCCAGAGGAGATAAAAAATCCAAATTCTGGGTAATGAGCTGAAGCTGGAGTTTCCTTTATATGGTTGTTACAAGGCAAAAAGGGAGGGGGGAACAACTGCTAAAAGCAAGCATACAGAAGCAGAAGCGAAGGTCAGTGTTTTGATCTTGAGACAACTGCTTATCGAGGAAAGGCTGCTGTCTGGGAACAGCGGCTGGTCAGCTCCTACCTAACAATGGCTACTGTTCAGCTATGCCCCATCACATTCCCCCCTTTGATGCTATAAGATGTTTTTATCCCTTTAGCATCACTATATACCTGGCTATATGGCTGAGGTCCTTGGGAGGGTTGCAACTGCTGATACTGGTGTTGGTACCGCTGGAGGGCTAACACTTGGGCAGCTGCCCTATGAGTCACTGTGGCCCCAGGTGCTGGACCAAGGTCCGGAGGATGCAGGGTCCCATATGCCTGACACCTCCGGGTCTGGTATCCTATGGTCCTGGATATCACTCCAGTCCGGAGCACCTTCCCTCTTCAAGTGCAGAGGGATTGCTGTGTCTGAACGCAACCCGATGGCACGTCAGTGGAGGAGCTGAAAGCTGACCTTGGGAGATAGTAAGAGACCACTGTACCGCTGAGTATAATCCTATGCCCAGGGGTATTACATTTGCAGGCTGGGGCTGAGACAGGGGCCGCATTTGTTAAGCAAAGCATACAATAAACCCAAATGCAGAGACCAAACAGAGATAAGCTATTCCTAGGGTGATCCGCTCCATGGGATTCCATTCTGCAGGGGTCACAGTCACTAGTCTGATTCCCAATGCTCCTGTGAAGGTGCCAATTAAAGTCAGGTACCCTGTGGAACAATGGTCCATTCCTTGGTGTCTTCTTTACTGGCTGGTGTCCTCTGGTGCCTCAGTGTGGGTATTCTAGGTGCAGACCAAGTCCTCAGGTCCTCGGGATCTGCTGCTGTTTTGGCCCGGCAGTAGTGGATCCAAGGGGTGACTCCTGCAACCTAGGCAATGCTAGTGGTAGCAAGTCTGTCCAGGGCAGTCCAGTTTCCTGGTAGAATTTAGCTAAGGTTCCATTTTCTGTCCACGCCCCTGATCATACTGTGAGTACTTCCAACAAGCCTGGTTGCTGAGCGTTGCACTGGGTGACACACCAGAACCCCGAGGAAACTCGTAGGCTGCTGGGGCAGGTGAACCCGATGGAACACCATGAAGGGCCATGACAGACGACTGCGAGGACGGCTGTGGGGGCACTTCAGATACACAGCGTGTGCCCTCTGCATCTCGACGTGAAGAGTAGGAGTGTGTTCAGGATGTGCTTCTGGTGTTCTTTCCTTAATTCAGTCAGGTGCTTCAGCAGTGTGTGTGTTCCTTCCCAGCACTGTTCCTGGGATGGGCCACCAGGAGGAGGTCGTCCATGTACTGCAGAATTGTCAGGTCCTGCCCCCCTTAGTGAGGGGCTTCAGGTCTCCTGCTAGGGCTTCCCCAAATAAGGTTGGGGAGTTCTTAAACCCCTGGGGCAGTTTAGTCCAGGTCAACTGAGTCTTGACCGCTGTGTGCGGATCTTTCCATTCAAAGGCAAAAATGGGTTGGCTGGAAGGTGCCACAGGAATGCAGGAGAAGGCATCCTTCAGATCAAGGCAGGTAAACCACGTTGCTGTTGGGGGAAGCTGGCTCAGGAGAGTGTGTGGGTTCAGGAAGACCGGTGGAGGGTGATGGCTGCTTCGTTGACAGCCTGCAGATCCTGGACGGGCCAGTACCCGCTCCCATCCGGCTGCCATCATGGGTCTGGGCAGGTGTGGCCCCATGTTATGGAGCCAATCTTCTCTGAGCTCCCACGCAGGCGCTATAACTCGGGGGACCTGCCTCCCAGTCACATCTTAGGTAGGGGGGAGTCTTTCTTTATCTCCCTGGCCCAGAGCATGGCCACAGCTATTCAGCATACCTAAGTGACCAGCTGAAGGCTATAAGTATGTCAAATGACTATGCCATGGATTAGCTGTAAAGCTATTGCTGTACAAAACAGCCCTGCATGTTCTTGCTCTGTGTGTCCCTCCCCCAACTCACACCTGTGGGGGAAGGGGTGAAGACATCTTAAAATCTCCTGGGTGCCTTGAGTTCTGGACCCCATTTTAAATGCCCATTTGGGGTCCCCTCTCTTGGCTGCACCCTGCAACAATCTCTCATTTCAGATATACACCCACTTTAAATTCTTTTAGAGGACAATGGAGGAAGGTCTTATCTTCTTGTAACTACTTCTGCCTGGAAATGGACATTGTCCTAACTACCCGTGGGTCAGGGTGCCCTGAAGGGGGGGGTGGTGCAGCACAGAGGGAGTCCTTCCTGTAAGGGGGAGGACCTTACATAATCCTGGTCAGTTGGCTGTCACCAGAAAGTCATAGGCTTGGTGTCCAAAGACTGTCATTACTGGACCATTGGCATCCTGGTCATATTCTGGAGATGACAGATTTGGAAAGAGTTGGAAGGCACAATTAAATCATAACCTCTAAATGACAAAGGCAAGAACTTAAGTAAAGAATGGCTTATCTGGTGTATGAGGCATGCTACACCTATCCAAAACTCTTGTGGCCCACTATACTTCACTCGGGCTGAGAGGAATATATTAGGATTTCCCTCCTTTCAGATATCTGAACCCTTCCTGTCCAAGCCATCAAGACAGAAAAAGGAAAATCAGTTCTAAAGTGAAGCCCACAGATCACCCGAACTGCTCATCAACCCAACCACTCAGTTCAGCCAAACCGTTGAGTTTCAGGGGGTGATGATGAAGAATGGGCTCCTTAAGTGAGGCTATATTGCAACCAATCACTCAGGTAATGAAGTCATAGGCATACGTCCTATGAAAACAGAAGAACACACAGGTTAATTCACACAATAGTCTCCAAACCAGTCTCTGTGCCTGTGAGACTGTCTTTTGGGAAGCCGTTCAGTTGCAAGGTCCTTCCTGCAATGACATTTAGCAATGGCAATTTGACAGGTTCTCCATACCTGTAAATTGTACATCTTTGATGATATTACAAAACCAGTTTTAACTTTCAAATGAAAAGACTCTTTCAAGACAGTTAACTGCATCATTCTGGTGTCCAATACTGAGCATTGTGATTTTCCTTGAACCACAATTTTTCTCCTTAAGATCACCCTCATTGTTATTAAAGGGACTACTTTGAGTTCCGCTTTTCATTTTGACTGTTTACATAAACACACCAAGAGCAGCCTGGATCACTTAGGATCTTTAAGTCTGCTTTGCTGGAACTCACACAGGGAACTTTTAGACTGACTTCTCAGTCTGCCCCTCGGGGCACAGAAGCAGTGCCACATATCCGCCATCTGGCTTTGCCTGTACCAGTTGTTTCACTCAGATCCTTGAGGCTTCCATTGTGCCCACAGGTTTCTTTTTGGCCACCTTTCATGAAAGTAACCTTCGTTCCTTCCCTGGAAAGACTGCCATGAACTGTAAAACCAACCAAAGTACCAGGCTTTTCTCATGGGCTTACACTAGCTTCACAAGTCAATCCCAGTTGCTCAGGGCTTTCTGGTGATGACCAGAAACATGCCCCCTTCAGACGTGACATTCCAGTCAAAGTCTGCGTTAACAAAACCACTGTTAGTGACTGATCTTATTGATTTTATGCAAAGAAACCTTATGTCTTCACTCCTTCAGAATGCCAAATTCTGGAGGGATCAGGTAGGGAGAAAAATGCAAAGCCTGAAGGAAAATCCTTTCCCTTCTGATATCCACTGGGCTTCTCTAAACCTTCACTTCCAGACATTCTGCAACACTCACAAACCCTCTATTCTTTCTTTCATACAGCTTCTGATATCCACCAAGATTGCATCTTCATGCCTTATACTTTCTATTATTAACTAACACCATGTAATTCCTTCCTAAAACTTTTACTTTTCCATTTATTTTTGCAGTTTCCCACAGACCTTCTTCATTTATATATATTATATTTTTTATTTACTTCTCTACAGAGTGTGAAGTTTCAACCTTCCCTGGAATCCTCAATTTCCTTTTTAGAGCAGATACAGAGCAAAATCCAAAACAGTTCCAGAACAAGACACAGGTAGGGGCATTCTCTTGCACCAATGCATTCATTGGTGCCTCGCAGAGACATGCTCCTTCAGGCCCAGTCTTTTGGCAGAGACATGCTGCTTTGCCTCTGGCTGAAGCACTCATCAGCCCCAAATGACCCTTCCTGGGTCCCGAGTGGCAAAGGCATTCTCCCCGACCAGTTACAGGCAACCTTAAACAGTACAGAGGGTTTCTGATCAGAAACAACACCAATGTTAGAAATTTGCTCTTTTCCCACAAAACCAGAAAACAAACAGTTGAAGTTTCCTTTACTCCAGGTTTAAAACTTTACATTCTTTACACATAATTTTACTCATTCAGATTTAAGCATCATTCTCTTTTAATCCTGGTTCCTTTCCCACACTGGGAAGGACTATACTTAAACTCAGCATGTGGCAGCCAAAAGTCCCTGGCACTGCAGGTACCTTCCACTAAAATTCCCTAGATTTTCAGGGATATTCTTCAGTTTTCTGAAGCTCAGACCCTGCAAACACCCTATAGGTCAGATGCTCACCCTTGGACCTCAGTTCATGTCCTTCAGAACCAGAGCCATTCTTACCAGAACCAGTTACACAGAGAACCAGACTGATGCAGTGCCCACACAGCAGCAGCATACAGCCTGTAATCTGAAGAGGGCCCTTAGCCTGGCACCTTGCCCAGTTCCAAGATGGAGGGGTCTCACGTGACCCATCATCCAAGATGACGACAACCAAGCACGCTCCACCCTCCATGGTGGGGCACTCACATGGCTCGTCCTCCATTTTACCCAAAGTGGTGGTGTACCTACAAGGCTTGCTGTCCAATCTCCAACATGCACCCAATGTAGTACTGTGGCAGGAACCCCCCCCCCCCCGCCCCCTGCCATGATGAATTCTCCTAATTGGCGCTGACAGACAAGGGAAGGGACTCTTAGGTCGCCTGCCTGGCCTCTCCCCTCTCAGGGCTTGTAGGTTCCATCTTAGCTAAGACTGCCCATGTAGAATTTGGGTTAAACTCCCAGCTATTATGCCGTATGACAGACCAAGGAACCGCAGGTTAGGGCTCACTCACGCTCCGTAGGCTTCCACCCGTGGAGCAAGAAACACAGTCATTCACACAAACACACCGAGCGCATTACGTTCCCACCCGCCCGAACTGTGGGAGCCCTGCCTGGGCCTTCCGGCCTGAGGGGTGATTCAGTCCCTCCTTCCACTCCAAGAGTGGGCCTGGTTTTCGGGCTCCTGGTCCCCGTGGGACACTTACCAGATTCCAGATTGGCGCCTTCCCAGATACCACCAGTTCACACCCCGCCAGCCTGGGTCAAAGAGCGGTCCAGGGGCCAAGCCTACGGAGCCCGGGATGTTCAGGACCCGAAATCACTGGGGCGAGTGCGCCTCCTTATCACCGCCGGGCCCCACCAGCCACCCCAAGGCCGCCTTCACCGGAGGCAACAGCCTGCTCATGTGAGTTGTTTGCCGGTCAGGGAACCAACATGTTACGGAAAAGACGACTCACACGGCTCGGAGTTTGCGAAGTGGGGTTTATTCACTCATGCGGACCCAGAGGAGATAAAAAATCCAAATTCTGGGCAATGAGCTCAAGCTGGAGTTTCCTTTATATGCTTGTTACAAGGCAAAAAGGGAAGGGGGAACAACTGCTAAAAGCAAGCATACAGAAGCAGAAGTGAAGGTCAGTGTTTTGGCCTTGAGACAACTGCTTATTGGGGAAAGGCTGCTATCTGGGAACAGCGGCTGGTCAGCTCCTACCTAACAATGGCTACTGTTCAGCTATGTCCTGTCACAATTTGATACAACTCTTTGTTAATGGATCATACAAACATATTTTTCAAATTAACTTTTATTATAAATGGAATGGCTGAGAAGGCACTTAGTAAATATTTGTAGAACTAGAAATGTTTTACATAATTTTTGAACTGAAACTTGGCATAAGAAGAGAATTAGGATGGTCTTTCCATATTGTAGATGGAAAACGGACTTAATGGTGGGTTTGGGTAGGGGTTTGGGGGAATTCAGAACTATGGACAGTGTTTGGGCCAGGAGAGCAGAGGCTTTGTGTTGGGAGTATGAGAGAAGATAAGGAGAGGCTGGTTGGGTTGATGGAGAGACTACATTTACTGCAGAAGATGATCTGTCTGTGTTATGCCAAATAGTTTACTGTCTAGCCTAAAGACCCAAATATTTATTGATAAAAGCATATGTTTATTTTAGGTTAGCAGACATGTACTGTCAAATAGTTGTCAAGATTTCCAGGGCAAATAGATATAAACATCACTTGGAGTTTTAGGTGATTAAAAAGATTAAGACAACAAAGACAGCTTCAGAAAATGTCAGGACTGAATGGGCAAATTAACAAATGGTTGTAAACATGAATGTTCAAGACCTACTAATGTACCTCTACATGCGAGAGTTGGGGGCGAGGGAGGTGGAGGAGGATATGGGGGAATAAATGGTGATGGAAGGAGACTTGACTCGGAGCGGTGAACACACAATATAGTATACAGATGATGTGTTGTGGAACTGTACACCTGAAGCCTGTATAATTTTGTTACCCAGTGTCAGCCCAATAAATTCAATAAAAAGGAAAAAAGCAAGCAGTGGTTCTCAAAAAGGAGTTTGTTTTACTAATTGTAATCAACCCTTTAAAACAGTAAAATCAAGGGTAGTTTTCTGTGTCTTGATGGTTATGGTCACCTGTTTACCTGCTGCAATATACCTTGGTTGACAGCATTTGTAGAAAGTAGATTTAAAGGGTGTTAGTAATCAGTCATTCCAGTTGATCTCGGTGACCTTCTCTTACTTGTTTTTTATACTTTTCCTGGGCCATTTCATCTCCAGAGGGGGCTTCATCTCTGTACATAGGTAATCCCCCAATGTACATCTCTGATCTTGACCTCTTTCTTACTAGAGCTCAGGACCTTTTAGCTCCATGTAAATATTCACTTAGCAACTGGGGTAAACTTGCTTTATCTGAAGAGGAATTATTTTCCCCTGAACCGTGTTTCTCTTTTGTTTTTTAAATCAACATTGTTTATTTGTGTACTCTACTACTACTCTTAAGAATTCATAAGCCTGTCATCAGGCTTGTCTTCAGTCTTGAAAATGCCTCTCTTACAGAACTCCTTGAATTCCTATTGCCACTGTCTTCGCTGAGTTCTTCACGTTTCAGAAAGCAGCAGTATCAAAAAATGAGTAATTTCAATAAGTCAGTCAGACTCAAAGCTCTAACAAGTGATGGCATCCAGCCTGGAACTCAAGTGTTCTAGCCTCCAGGCAGGGCACCTGAGAACTTTTTAAATCCAAATATGTGGAACCCAAATTGTAGAGAATTCATATTCCAAAAAAAGTTCTACACTGGAGTCTCAACTCTCCCTGTGATATACAAAACAGAACTAGATCCTGCAAGTTCCCTTCTTGGGCAGTGAAGCTTCGAGGTCCTCTTCACTTGAGAACTCGAGTAAATGTTTTAAGTGCTGACCTTTTCTTTCGCACTCACCTCCGCTGTGCTAGTAGTGATCTCAGCTGACAGGAAAAACTACCCATCCATTGCTGCAGGGAAGCAGTGACGTCATGGCTAGAATTAACTGACCCCGTTTTTCCGGCTTCGCAGACCGAGGAGCCCAGAAGGCCGACAGAGAATGAGTAGGAGGTGGGAGACCACTGTCCTTTCCATTCAGGGGGCGGGGCCCTGCGCCTCCAGCAGGCGGAACCGGCACCCTGCAGTGCCTACAGGCCGGGAGGCGAGAAAGTGGGTGTGTGCTTGGGGGGCGGCCAAACTTCCTGTCCCGGGTTCGGACTGCTTCCGGCAGGAGCCGGAAGACGGTGTGCACTGTACGCTGTGCACTGTGCGCTGTGTGTGGACGGAATTCGGGACGACGGGCGGACGGCTGCCGCGAACGGGCAGGTGAGGTCCGGAGCCGGCCAGATCACGCTTGCTAGGCCAGGTGGACCCCAAAAGGGAGGGAGTCAGTACTGGCTCCTCGGGGGCTCCGGCCGAGTTCCCGCCGGAGAGGACAAGGAAACCGCCCCCCTTGGGCACCCTTGTGGGATCTGGCGGACCAGGGAGCGGCCAGTCTGAAGCCGCAGGGTTTGGACCTTTCCCCTTGCGGGGTTTTGAGGCTAATGTTTCGGCTTCCTTGCTTGGTTTCTGGGTCGAAGCACGGGAACAAGATCGTCCTGAGAAAGCCGGTGTCATCGGATCCCCTGGGCGGGGGCTCCCGGACTGCATTCGCAGCGGAGGCCTGCCCGCTGACCTGGGGCCTTACAAGAAGGCCCTTGTAATCGGGGAATGAGATGCCAAGGGGACTCTGCCCTGGATATTTCATCCCAGAGCTGCTGTCTTCTTTCATATATCCCATTCCTTTCTGGGTCTAGAAGAACTGAGGCTGCCCATTTGGAGCGGCTGGACTGCGGGTTTCTGCTGCGCCTGCGGGGGTGGGGTGGGGTGTGGGCTGTGAGTGTTTACAGCTTGTGCGCATTTTGCAGGATGAGTTTAGTCCCTGAAGTTTCTTCAGATAAGAGAGTCCAGTTTATTAAAGTTTACTTACCTTGCTCACGAAGCTCTGAAATGCAGTTACGGCACTATTTGGAAATTAAATATTATTAACTTGGGACCTAAGAATTTGCACTTCTTTCTCTTTGGCAAAAGATCAACGTAGCATATTTGCAAAGAGGATAAAAGAAACATTTTGAAATAAAGTCAGGGACATTTTGGTGTTAAGGAAGAAATTCCACTTTGTGTTATCTTGGTGTGGACAGAGCAAAATCAACTAACCCAACAGTCAGGAGATTTAGCTTCTAGTTTTTAAAGTTTTGCATCTTAAGTAAATGCCTAATTTTTTAGTAAGTTAATCTCTAGATTTTGCCTTTTTTTCTCTTTGTAAATTAAGAGTTTTACCCATTTATTCAGTAAATATTTTCCTGAGTGTCCACTTTGTACACAGCATTGTCCTGGGTTAATGGAAGAAGGGTGAATAAACTCAACAGTCCTAACCAGTGAGAAAAATTTCCATGCTGTGAAAACACCAAGGTAAGGACAGATTTGTTCTGCCTGGAGGGAAAGGATCAGAGCGTCTTCATGGAAGAGATAGCATTTGGGATTTTAAGGGCTGGAAAGGATTTCACAAGATCACAACTAGATTGGGGGTGTGTGCTACTGGTTGAAGAACTATCCCAAGCAAAAGCCCTTGAGCACTGACAACGGTGAGTGTGTCCATTTAATAGCCAGTCCACTGGCTATTAAATACTGGAGTATTGGACTGGAGCCAATACTCCAGTCCATTGTGGGCTGGAGTAACAAGTGTGTTAAGGAATGCAGTGGATGCGGGAACCAGAACAGTGTTTGAGGACAGGTGGAAATGCCATGCTCAGGAATTTGGCTGCCATATTGAGGCACTGAACTTTGAGTAAGCAGACTAATACAAGCATTTCTGTGTTTTGGAAAGGTAAGTGGAGTGGTGTGTAAAAGACGGATTGGCAAGGGGAATTTGAAGGGCTGAGTAACCAGTTAGAAGCCTATTTTAATAGTGTAGTTGAAAGATAACGAGAAACCTAAATAGGACATTACAATAGGAATAAATTTGGGAACCACTGGGATTATTTAAAAAGGGAAGATGAGAGATTGTTGAAGACCTAGAATTTGCAGCTGAGTGGGAGGAAGATTGGGCAACAGAAAGAACAGGTTTGGTGGAGGGAGAGAGCATCTGGATTTTGGAAATTGTTACATTTGAGTTGCTGTTGGATATCCATGTGGAGATAGTAGTAGGCAGTTAGAAATGCAAGTCTGAAGTTCAGAGGAGAGGTGAGAAAATAACGGAAAAAATTGAGTATCATTGACAACGTCATTCATTTATTATACAGGTATTTATTTGGTGCCCACTAGGTGCTTACAGGGAAGTGTGTATGGAAGCCCTTCAAGCTTGTAGTAAAGACAGACTTAGAGCTTCACAGTATCAGAAGTGACTCTAGGAGACCTAAGTTCTTTACGAATCGCATAAAGTACTGTGCTGGGCAGTGTGCTGGGTGCTGGGAGATACAGCCGTGAACAAGACTAGTTATTTCCCTAGTTTATGGAGCCTACAACTTAGGGGGTAGCCAGGCAGAAAATGAATATTGTATAAAACCAAATGAAAGAATCAGAAATTGTGATGAGTGGAGACAGTAGATATAGAAAATAAAGGTGGGAGTGTAGAGAACCTTCAGATGAGGTGTCGGGGAAAGCTTTTCTAAATGAGTTAACAGTTAAACTGAACTCAGAAGGGTGAAAACAAACAAAAGAGCTAACCAACTGAAGAGAGGATAACCTCCCCTTTCCTGGGAGAGGAAGTGTTGTTTACAAATCCCTAATATAAGAATCAGCTTAATGTGCTCAAGGAGCTAAGGGAGATTCATCAGGCTGGAGCTTGGGGAGCAAGTAAGGGAGGGTGACTGCAAAGTGTGGTTGGAGAGACAGGAGCGGCTCACATAGGTTCTTACAGGCCAGAATAAGGAGTTTGGATTTCGTCTAGACACATTAGAAAGCCTAGAGAAGAGTTTCAAGCAGGGAAGTATGTATGATAAGGTTGACATTTGAAGATATTTATTGCTGTGAAGAGACTAGAATGGACAGTGGCAGGAGTAGAAGCAGGGAGATGGTTAGGAGGCAGTAACAGTGCTTTAGGGCAAGAAGTGATGGTGGGCTGGAGTAGGGTGGTGGCAGTAGAAAAAGAAGTAGGTGGATTTGCTATCTTTTCTCTTGTGGAGGTAGAATCAACAGGGCTTGCAAATGAATTGAGTATGGGGAGCAAAGGAAAGAAAGTAATAAAAACTACTCTTAAGTGAGGTAAATGGTGGTCCTTGAGTAGAGGGTTGTGGTGAGAGGGGCTGGCAGGAAATGATGGGAGACAGGCTTGGGAGAGAATTTGGTTTGGATATGTTGAAACTGAGACACCGAGTTAAAGTGTTAGAGATGTCGAGTAAGCAGTCGCATGTACCAGTTTGCAGCTCAGGGAGATACCTGGGCTACAGATTAACGTTTGGAGACCATATTTAAAGCCCAGGTACTGCATGAATTCACAGGAGGGAGAGAGTAGAGTAAGAAAGCAGGCCTGAACACTATCCTGAGAAATATGAACATTTAGGGGCTGAGTGGAGGAGGAGTGTTGGAGTTTTCAAAGTAGACTGGAGAAGTGGCTGGGAAGGTAGTAGTGAAATAAGGAACACATATTTTGGAAGCAAAAAAAGTAGTCTTTGAGGAAGGAGGCCGTGCTTCTGAGAGACAATGCTAGTTATGCCACTTTGGTTGCAAGTGACTAATTTGATTCAGAAGAGAAATTTACAGCAAGGATGTGGGCAGTTCACAGGATCGGAGAAAATGCCAAAGGCCCTGGCTTTACAAAGGGCAGGAATGTGAGCAGCCCTCAGGGAGGCTGCTGGCTGCATTGCTGGAATGGGTGGGCTGCTGCTGCATTTTTCAGTCCTTAGTTCTCTGAGGACTCACGTTGAGGAAAAGTGTGGTTTGTTCAGCATGGGTCACGGGTTCAGTGGTTGTCCAGGGTAGAAAAGCATACCTCAGTCTACAGTTCCACCAAGAATGTAATCAATGGGTGTGGGGTAGATCCCGAAACAAGATGTAGCTCCTGTCCCCCAAGCAGGGGAAATGAATGTGGGGCAGTCAAAGACAGCAGCTGTCCAGTGGAGGACAGCACAGTGTCCATTGGATTTGGTAACGTGAAGATCATGGGTAATCTTTTTTTTTTAATGAAAGAATTGTAAAGTCTTTTTTTTTAATTTTTTAAAAGATTTATTTATTTATTTTTAGAGAGGAAAGGGAGGGAGAAAGAGAGAGAGAAAGAAACTTCAATGTGCAGTTGCTGGGGGCCATCACCTGCAACCCAGGCATGTGCCTTGGCTGGGAATCAAACCTGCTATACTTTGGTTCGCAGCCTGCGCTCAATCCACTGAGCTACACCAGCCAGGGCTGTCATGGGTAATCTTTACAAGAGAGGTTTTGGTGAATTGATGGGGTAGACCGTGATTGGAGGTGAGAAAGTGGGGACAATTCTCTTCATGAATTTGGTTTGTAGAGAATTAGGCTTGTAGAGGATTAGGTGACTGGAATAAAGTTCAGGGCTGTGAGAATAGAGCACCCAGAAAATCTTAGGAAGAGAAGGGGGAAGGCCCAGGGTGAGTCCTACAGTTTCTAAGACTCATTCTGGCTTCACAATTCTTCATTCCAAGTGTCTTTGTTAGTTCCTGTTACTATTTCATCATTGGAGTTTACGTAATAACTCCCACAATATGCTGGGTTTGCTATGGAAAGTTACCTGATTTTTCTGTTCCCAGCACAACCAAGTTGTACACCAAAATTTAAACTGTGCCTTTAAAATAAGTTTTAATTTTTGGTCTTTGTAATTAACTACTACTAGAATTTTTGTTTTAATTTTTTAACCGTCACTGACTTGCTTGGGTTTACATCTGTGGTCAGCCACAGGTAGAGTTGGAGGGAGCTGAGACGCAGATTGGTCCCTGATAAGGGAGACTAATCCTTTTGGTTGGAATCGTGTGCTTTATTTTCACCTTTGTGATGGTGACCAGTTGAGGGGAGCACAATGTTTCTCAGTTTCTTTCCTCTTTTTTTCTTTACCCACTCGCCTCGTCCTCCTTTCTAAAAATGGGTCAAGGTGAAGGCATTGTTGACCTCCCTTGAGTTACAGCACTACTGATAGTCTGAGCTTTGTGTTGTAGGGCGGAGTCACTTTGCTTTTTAGAGGTTGTACAATGGTGTTTTGTTTCTTTTATGAAGCAAAGTAGTTAAAGCCCCTGGTCATCTTTCCCTGTGGAATGCACTCCCTTCTGCAGAGCAGTTAGGACCGAGGCAAGAGACCTGAGTAATCTCGGTTCCCCTGTTGCTTGCTTTAAGTTTCCCGTGGATTGGTTTTCCTTCCCAGTATTTCCCCATGTAGCCTGCATTGGTTTTAGGCGGTCTGTACCATGGGGAAATGGTGTGACTGTTGATTCCCGTCTAGGATGTGAGTTCTGCGTTGGGGTTTGGGACGTAAGACTTCTTTCCTTTGCTGGTCATGGCCTAGTGTGTAGTGTTCTCCTTTGCAGATCCCGGGGCGGGGGGCGCTGGAGGACAAGATTCAAGTTATCTCAACTTCACCAAAACTCCAGTAATCATTGCTGATTGTTTGTAATATATATTGAAAGCAGATTTATGTCTATGGCTTTTACACTTTATGGCTGATTCTATGCTTAGCATCTGTATTTTAGACATTTTGAAGGTACTTTTATAGTGTTTTTCAGTCTGTGAAATATAACCTGTTAGTAGCTTGTGAGATCAGTTTATTGGGTCTTACCATTTATAAAAAGACAGTGCATGAGAGTAGGAGAGGTTAGTATTGCTGTATGAAAATAAGTTACTTGTGTGTGCTTCCGTGTGTGTTTTAGTTGCTGGGTTACAGTGGAAAGTGTATCTTACTGTAGGTGGCAGTCAGAAGTTTGAAAACCACTGCTCTTTGGAAATTTGGACTCAGTCATAAAAGGTGGAGTTCCTAACCTTTCATAGTATACTAAGCATTTGATAGGCTTGCCTGTGTCTCGTGCACCTGTGCAGAACTTTATTTCTGAAGACTTTTATAATTATTTCTGTTGACTAATATAAAAACAATCCTAGGGTAGATTTGTGTTTGTTTCTGTGTTTCAGGTGACTTTCCTAGGGCCAAGACGTTGGGTAGCTTGCCCAGGTCTCAACCTAGTCAGAGGCGGAATTTAGATTCCTGCCGTGGAGACCTTGTCCTTTTGTTTTTAAAGAACATATCTCAGCTTCTTTAACTTGTTTAGCAACTTAGTAATTTTAGTGCATGATGTGCTGGGTGATGCTGGGTGTGCTGTAGAAAAAGAATGCAGTTTCTCAAACTTGACTTCCCCGGATTTGTTTATTTGACTAAAAACAGAAGGAGAGTTGTTCTCAGGATGGTCCTGATAATAGAGATGCTGTTGTCCTAAATCCACTCTGCTCTTGTTGAATTCTCTAATTATCTCCATAAC